AATGTAAAACAAAAATTTACTAGCTAGACTTACCATCAGATGAATTTCAATGTGAAAAATTTACAAATAAAAATGAAGTTATAACACAGCTGACTTCTTGTTTTGTAAAAGATTTTACGAAACAAAACCAACCAGTAAAATAAAGAAATGAATTTAAACACCCTAAATGAACCGCAAGACGCTCTGCAACGTCGTAGTTGCTTCTTATCCTTAGGAGTACTTTTTCGTAATGTCTCTTCGATGTTTATTATAATGCTTTAAAAGATGATTGGCGAAACAATTGCAACAAGAGCCATGTTAGCATGGCTATCCCCCGCCGAATGTGTTTGCTCATTGTAAGAATGTATATGTAGTAGAGCAGAATAATTCAATCTTAAGAGGTCTTTTGGTAATGAAAACTGATGGCGGCTGAAGTGATTACAGATTTGAAACCTATGTGAATACTGATGGCTGAAAATAACAAAGGGCAATAACTAAAAAATAATGCGGGGTAGGTTATCATTCTTGTGTGCTGCACCCTCCTTAATGAGATATATCCACCTATGAAGTTTCAAGTTGATACCTCTAACACGTTTTGAGATAAAGTATGAATTATAACAAAGGGCCACAACTCAAAAATTATAAAGGGTAGATTATCATTCTTGTGTACAGCATTCAATAAGATCTATCCAAAGACTTTTTGAGTTATGCTCCACTCAGGTGAAAAATTAAGTATGAAAAATAACAATGGGCAAAAACTCAAAACTTATGAAGGGTAGAGTTATCATTCCTGTGCACTGCACACCTCCTGAGTGAGATATATCCACCCATGAAGTTTCATGTTGATATCTCAAAGGCTTTTTGAGTTATGCTCTGGACAAAAATTAAGTTTGAAAAATAACAAAGGGCAATAACTCAAAAACTATGCATGTGGAGTTATCATTTTTGTTCACTGCACTCCTCCTTAATATGATCTTTCCACCTATCTATGATCTATGAAGTTTCAATTTGATACCATAAATACTTTTTTGAGATATGCTCCGGACGAAAATGTCAGACGGAAGGACGGAGGGAAGGACAGACGGACGGAGACTATTTCTATATATCCCCCGCCGCCTTTCGGCGAGGGATAATAATCGCAATTTATTGAAAATAAGAACAACACTATTATACCTACCTGTACGTAACATGACCAATGCAGCACATCGAACAGTCACCCGTAATACTTTCCGTTAGAACTGTTTTTGGTTTCGCATTGAAGGAGATAACAAACTTTCTAAAACAAAGCTAATCTAATTGTTGTTTTAAATATAAGCGTTATATTTATGTTATTAAGTGTTGAGCATGTGCATTTCTTGTGCAATAGACAGGAAAAGAAACGCATGAAACACTTGTACCCACCTAAAATGCCTTCAGATGAAACTGAAACAATACCGTTAGATTAGTGCAAAGTAAGTAATGTTCGTCCTTGTTAATATGTACGCTTGTTTATTTATTACATGTCTATTTACTGAACATATTCAACTTTTTCATTGAGTTATACCACCTTTCACTACGTTTGTTACTAAGTTTTGTTCCCTGTTCTCAAGTAAAAATATTATAAATGATCATAAATGATCTTGAATTAGTTTCCTTTGATTTCTGCATTTTGTTCTGAACATACCAGGTCAAAACACAAACATTTTTAATAAAAGATGATACGTTAAGTGACATAATGTGGTTGGTAACAGGTCATTCTGATCCTTATGTTTTAATGCTGATTTATTTGCTTTAGTTCTTATTTCATCTCACTTTAAACTTGATTGGAGGTAAATTTTTATTTGGTATTATTCCTGCCTTGAACTGTGGAATGTATCGAGTGCGGTTTGTAACAAGAGCTGTCCGTAAGACAGCGCGCTCGACTTTTTTATTGCTTGCCAATAAAAAAAGTTTTTGCAGTAAAAGGCAATACAAGAATCTCTGTATTTTTAAAGTGAACAATGGCCATGAGCATTAAGATATTTAGTGAAGAATTATTTTACTGAATTGTGTGATACCCTTGAACACTGCAGGTTCAGTGGATAGGAATGAATTTTTTTAGATTTTTTAAGTTTTTTAGTGCTTGCCTATAATACAAAACATTGACAGTTAAGGGCCATAATTCAAATAAAATCTTTGACAGAATTACCTTCTCCTGGACATGTTTGGGAATCATGATTGTAAACAAGTATTCCAACTTTCAAATTAATATCTCAAACAGTTCAGTCAAAAAGTGGACTGGTACTAAAAACTTAACCAAGATTCTAAGTCGATAAAAGGCCTTAATTTTTAAAACAAATCCTTGACAGAGTTACCTTCTCTTGCGTACAGATGGGGGTAATGATGTGAAATAGCATTAAAAGTTTCAAAGCAATATCTCAAAGGGTTAAGGCAATAAGTGGATTTTACCCATATTCAATGCATTTTCTAAGTCAAAAAGGGGCATAATTCTGTCAAAAACCTTGACAGAGTTATGTCCTCTTGTCTGTTGATGAAGGTCGTGATGGTAAACAAGTATGGTCAGTTTCAAAGCAATACCTCCAATGGTTTTGAAATAAAGTGAGGTGGTACAAAAAACTTAACCAAGCTCAATACACTTTCTAAGTCAAAAAAGGGCCATAATTCTGTCAAAAACCTTGACAGAGTTATGTACTCTTGTCTGTAGATGGAGGTTATGATGGTGAACAAGTATGGTAAGTTTCAAAGCCATACTTGTAATACTTCTGAAATAAAGTGGGGTGGTACGAAAAACTTAACCAAGGTGTGACGCCAACGCCGACGCCGAGGCGAGTAGGATAGCTCCCCTTTTCATAGAAAAGTCGAGCTAATAAAGGACATGACTATTTTGCTCTTATTTTACTGTAATTTACAACTTTTCTGTTTTTGTTTGCTTACATCTAAAAACAAATATTAATTTAATCCACTACATATTCGGTTTACTTATTTTGAAACACTGCACAACTTTGATCATTGATTTAGACATCGTGGTGTTAAATAAGAAAACGCAAGTTATTAATCTAGTACATTTAGTTACACCCCGTTGCTATAAGTCATAAACAAACATGGAACACAGATAAGTACAGGGAATGTAACGTTTACATAAATAAAACACGTCAATAAGATAGACAGTTGTAAAAATAGATTTGACTGTCAAATCTGCTTATATTTGTGTTGCTAGTACAGGCGAGTATGGAGACAATGTTTGAAATTGCACCTGTAAGAGTACATATCACTCGGAGTTTTCCTCCACGTATGTAACAGAAAACGTTAACAAAAAAGCGCTAATCAATAGTTCAATGCACTTGGAAATAATTACTGTCTATACAAATTAAGACTCATTCAGTGTTTGAGCATTATGAACATGTCAAGTAATCTATCTAATCAATCCTTACAGTAGGTCCCGTTCTAAAACAATATTGTCCACCATACTGAGTAGGATACTGTTGTTTTAATATAGTCCGTTTATGTTTATCATTTACTAGACGATTGTATACACGAACTCTATGTGCTTTCCAGTCTACAAAGTCTTGTAAGTTGGTTTGAAGCTCCTCTTCTGGTGGCAATAGCGTTTCCTTAAACAAACAGAAATACTAGCTATTGAAGTGATGCAAATCTCATAAAATCTTGGGAATGACACTTTCAAGATTTGAAAATAAATATGACAAAGAAATGATGTACAGACTAATTGAGGTGTATACTAGTTACAGAATACATGTAGAGCTGAATCCAGCTATCATGTACCAATCCGAGGTTCTGAAACAAGCTGTAAGAAAATTAAAGTGTATAGTCCAGAAATATTTGAAACATATAAATTGCATGGTTTTGGAACAGTATATTGAAGCATACATGCATTTATGATAAAATGCATCAGTTAGTTGTAACCCGCCCTCGGGACAATGCTAAGGATGGCGGAAAAACTTTTCGCCTGGTGTCAAAGCGATGGTTTTATTTTGGCACTATGCAGGGAATATGTTCATAGTGAGGAGAGGGAATTTCACCATTTGCCTTAAGAGATTTAAAATTCAAAAGTTACCGTTATCCTCCATGGAAGGGGCATTATTACAGTTTTATTAGGCGTAAGACAAACAATAATCAATGTATATATTGATTTCGATGACGAGATATAAAGAGAAACATGCATGTGTTTAAGGACACAAAAGGAGTATATTTAAGGTCAAATTGTACTTGTCGTAGCCCTTCATAGAAATGTAACATATGGGTTACAAAAAAAATGTTGAATATCAATCTATATAGTCAAGGAATGTATGTTTCTGTGCCTGTTCAAAATGGTTTTCCCATTTGTTGTTTTATTGAATGTTACCTTAAATATATCTATACTTACGACTTGTCGTAAATGGTACATTGTATGTTCATTTGCCTTTTCAAGGAAGAATTTCTTAGATATCATAACACATTCAGCACCATTGGAAACAACGCTAAAACTCTCCGCTTGCTCAGGGAATACAATTTTTGTTAAGCCCTATAACATAAGAATGTAACATAAAATTTCTATTTATACGCTATAAGGTGTAATTATCTATATTACACTTTTTTTTAAAATACCCTCTTATATCCGGAATTCACCGAATATAATTGTATAATTGTCCGACTTAAATTTTGAAAAAGTTCGTTATTATTAATGTGTATAGAGCTATATATCTGCTGCTTGTACTTTACAAAATAATTGTTTGAATTTTGAAAAGAATAATTCTAATAGCATGTGAATGGAGAAATACTTGCAAAGTTGTTTTACTCACAAAATATTGCCCTCTTTCCAATATTTGTACTTGAACAAACATTGGTCGTATATCTTTTTCTGTTAGAGTAAAATCTTTGATCATTTTATTGTCTAGCTCGTCAGTTATCGTCTTACGACCTATCTTTCTATCTTCAAGTAATTTCTTGTCGTATTCTATGATAAACGATTAAACATGTGTTTATACTTGTCAAACAAGAACATACTGGTCAATAATTATAGTTTTAATAGATATACTCCAAGGAATCTGCTTACATTGTGGCGTTTCAGTTCAACACTGTCAAGTTGTAGCTGACAGGCACACCACTGTATTTGTTTAAGATTCAGTCGCATTAACTTTATGATAAGGAAGAAGATAACTTTACAAATGTGACTTAAGTATAATTAATTTTGAAACTTGTGAATGTAGATTTATACACTTCCGGGAGGACATTTAATAACACTTTAACATACCTAATTGCTTTTGGAAAATTTCTTCTTGCATTGCCTCTTTACGGCTGGTCTTCCGCTTTGAGTTTTTTGTAGATGCCAGGTATGCACCCTAAATGTAAAGATTCAATGATTTTCGTAAGAAATCACAAGTTTTGATGTCTATTCTATATATTTAAATATGTAAAGTATTTAATTCAAAAGACATAGTATAAATAATAAAAGATAAGATAAAAAAATAAATGTTTATAAAAAAATGTTTGTATTTTAATTAAAACATAGTTTTGATTTCAAAACATTTATTTGCACATTTTAAATAAACCAGCAATAAGACTTCTGTCTGCTATTATCATGAAACGATTTTGATTAAACAAAGAGCCGGAGAAAGCGAAAAGTTAGCATACCACTCCAAACGTCACTAGACATTATAAATTGTTATATAATTACATTCCTTAGAATCAATAAACAAGAACGCTATCACTGTCTATAATCATTAGAGAGATACGCTTATCAACTTTCCCGCCACATGAACAAACTAAATGCACACATGTTAAAGGAAATTAAAAATCTGCAGGATTAAGTCAACATTTCTTGAAGAAATACAATAAGCTGTTGGATTACTTTTATCCATTTTAATGCAGACACGCTATCGCTGCTTTGGTCTTACGGATAAATAATGTTAGTTTAATAGCCTTTCAAATATTTCTCACTGTCGCCAAGTACTCAAGTAAAATCTGTTAAGAAACTGCATGTAAAGTTTCCGAGCCGTTATACATATAACTATGCGACATAGATCCCTCAATTCAAATGTTCCAATTAAAAGGAATATAGAAAAATATGTTTGTTTAACCAAGCACTGGACATAAATAATTATGTTACTTTTTGTAGAAATTAGAGTCAACAACAGTCAAATTAGAATTGCCTTTCATAGAGATGTTACCAGGACATATACATAGCGAATTGTAATATATATAATACAATATCTTAATTACTAAATGTTTTCTCAAAATGTTTTCTTTAAATTTCTGCGTGTAACTATTGTACTTTATGTTACAAAGCAACAAGAAATTTTAGTTATTTTATTCTTTTCAATTATATGCTTTGAATATGATATCGGAATAACTAAATGTGCACTTTCTAAATTTGCACAATGCTAACACAATGTTCACAAAGCCTCATGAGCCCATTTTTACTAATAAGTAGTTAACATTTAAAGCAGTGACAATTTGAGACTATTACATATATGTACATTACATATATATTACACAATGGGTTAAACATTGACAACACTCTGAATATCAACAGTTTCTACCTTCGGATATTTTGAAGAGGGGACTTGCAATAAATGCTTTTTTGATAATGGAGGACTAACACTAAAACTTTTTATTTCCGGGCTCCCCCATAACACATGCTGCAATAAATTTGTATGTTACCAAATCTGTGTGCATATAACTATCAAGTATCAAACTTAAAACTAAATCTAGCTGACATATGCTTTCATGAAAATCTCTAAAATATTTATTCATGGATTATCATTGTCTTTATTTGAATGACGTGTTGTTACATTTGTCATTTCTATAGTAATTTGTAAATAAGTAAATGTTTCATTTTTAATGATATGATAATAACAAATAATGAATTGTATGTATTGAGAATGAAATATATACGAATTGGGTAGAAAATTGTACGGATTGAGTAGGCAACTTGTACGGATTGACTAAAGAAATATGTACGGATTGAGTAGAAAACTTGTACGGATTGAGTGAAAACAATTGTCCGAACTGAGTGGGGAACTAACAGTACGATTTGAGAGAAAACAGAATGTACTGACTGAGTGGGAAAAATGCACGGATTGAGTGAAAAACTTTTACTGACGGAGTAGGAAACTTGTACGGAATGAATAGGAAACTAGTACGAACTAAGTGAAACAATCATATGGCTTGAGAAGGAAACTTGCACGGATTGATTAGGAAATGTGCACGGATTGAGTGAGAAACTTGTACGGATTGAGTAGGAAACTTGTACGGATTGAGTGGAAACTTGTACGGACTGAGTGGGATACGTGTACAGATTGAGTGTGAAACTTGTACGGATTGAGTAGGAAACTTGTACGGCCTGAGTGGGATACTTGTACGGACTGAGTAGGAACATTAGAAGTCTGTACTGTTTAGACCATTGATGAGTCTAAAATAAAAAATGGGCAACGTGTGACATGATCTTTCAGAACGTTTTGTTTGTCTACTGGTATCAGTGCTATGTTGGTACATGTATTATTAAAGTTTATCAAATTCACCTAAAACTGCATGTTTGTAGTAGACGCAATTCTTTTCTTTACAACAACTTTGAGTCTAAAGGTCTTCAGATTTTTTTTAATCAACTTATTTTAAGTAAGTATGAAAGTCAAGGTCGAAAATGTATATTTCATGTAGGGGAGACTGGGGCACTCTGGGACAAAAAACATATTTTTCAATCTCCTACTTAACATATCTTAAGGAGTGATGCTCTCTTTCGTGGATGAAAAGGACAATATGTACTGGATGTAACAGATAACTAACTGAACCTAAAATAATTAAGTTGACTTGGAGATATACATTAGAATACGGTCATTAAAATGTCCCAGAGTACCCCGAGCTAGGGGCACTGTGGGACACCATATATGGTACAGTGGGACATGCTTGGGTACGTAGGACAACATGTATAATTTCATTGAAACTAAAATATTATTGGAATTGAAAATCTGCGGTTGTTTCAAAAATCTAGATGTTCCAGTGCATGTTCAATGTGGAATTCTGCTAAAGCCGTTGGGGCGGGGGAGGGGGCGGTTAATTGCACTTTCCATTACTGTTTATGAACAGACTCAATCAAACTGAGGCTACAACATTTTTAATTTTGCTGTTTTGGGCTTTCTGTAGGAATTCTATTGAAATTTCTCTATTTTTATTTTAATTTTGATAGGTGCGTATAGTCACACTTGTTTCGTCCAGGCATGGATCATTGCCATATTAATGAATGACAAAGTTAGGAAAATATATTCTTAATTCATTCATTTGACGTTCATTGTCATTTAGAGGTCAAAAACATATCTAAATTATTCCATATGTTTCTTTGATCACAAGAGTTGTTTTGTCAACACATGAATCAAATTCTTCCATAATGACAAAATATGACAATCAAAATTCAATAATTTGGCCATGACGGTCAATGTCATTCAAAGGTCAAGGTCAGTTCATCCTGTCCAAAATTTTGTTTTGCCAAAACATGAAAATAATTCATTTATTAATTACCAAGTTACAATCAATTATGGCAAAAATCAGTGAAAGTGCAATAATCTAACGGACAAGGTCATAAAAGATCAAAGGTCAATTTGAGTTTGATACGCATGAAAGTCTTATCCAAAAGAATGTTGTCCCAGAGTACCCCAACCACCCCCCACCATTTTTATGTGACAATAATTTAAAAAGACAACCAAACCAAGATTTATTTCAAATCAGAAAATAAAGGCAATGTTAAGCATATTATCATTTACTAATATGATACAAATAAGTATTCAATATAGAAGAATTTGAAAGCTATATAGGACTTTTCTAGAATTTCACTTTGAAAGGTAAAAAGTGCATTGTACTCGCCAGACTGATTTTACTCAATTTGCTGCTATGAAACTTTTGAAAGGAAAAAAGCTTGACAAGATCAATCATCTGCATAAATTATTTTTAAATCAAAGAACAAAAGCTATCAAAAAAACCCATTGTCCCGCAGTGCCCCATGTCCCAGAGTACCCCAGTCTCCCCTAATCATAACTAATTTCATTTATCAAAAACTGAAGTAAATATAAGTTTACCTTTGATGTTTTTCTTATTTTTGGAAGTTTGATGGTTTTGTCATCATCGGTTGGTTCAATGCCGTCTTCAGTTTTGCTAGGAGTCGTAGATACTGCGGGCGGCGTCTCTGCATCTTAGAAAATTGAAATTTTCATTAATATGAGCCGCGTCACGACAAAAACCAACGTAATGCGTTTGCGACCAGCATGGATCCAGACCAGCCTGCGCATCCGCGCAGTCTGATCAGGATCCATGCTGTTCGCTATCAGTTTCCCTACTTATAATAGGGTTTGTAAGCGAACAGCATGGATCGTGATCAGTCTGTGCGGATGCGCAGGCTGGTCTGGATCTATGCTGGTCGCAAACGCATAACGTTGGTTTTGTCTTGACGCGGCTCATATAGTTTCAAAATACATAAATTATATTCCAGGGTAACCCTAGTATGTTCAAAGTTGGTAAATTTAAAATTCTGAGTATTTCTTTATCATTGTGATTGTAACGAGAAGTTTTAAAGTTAATCTGTAAACCTACTCTTTATATAAAACACTGTGACCATTTCAAGTGTATGTTTGTTTTTTGTTTTGTTTTGTTCTCACTTGATTGTCTTATCAAAATTTTATCTTTGTAGTTTATTTGCATAAGAAGATATAACACTTGCTTTTTGTACATACACTCATAATGATATTAAAAATTAGTCAGGGTTTTGGCAGTTCTCTGTGACCACGTGCATATTACAAGTACAATCTACTTCAAAATACTAGAGAGTTTCTTAAAACATTTGAAACATTTTCATTAAATATAATTTATTATATCTTCTGAAGTGATATATGTCAACACCTAATCAAACATTTATGAATAAACTATCATTTATCTTCCATATTGACACTTCGTATCGTTTTCTAAAACATTTGTCTTTTGAAGATAGAGCTATTGAAAAAAATGCTTTTTCATGATTTTAGAGGACCTTAATAATACACTATTCTCTAAGACTGCTGATTTACAAATATGAAGTTTTACAAATACTTCAAGAGTATGACTTTCATTATTTTAAACATTGTTTCACTTTCCTGTTATCTGAAATGCAAAAAGCGTTGATACAGAATTTTATAGCTGAAGAGAATACTGCTATCTGATACGCCACGACTATTTAAAAATGTTGAAAATATATCTTATAATGATAATTAAAATGAACTGAGAGTAATCGGATGAGTTTAAATAATTGATTGGTATATCTATATTGTTCGATAATGGTAATGAGTTTACTGAAGGAAATACTGTTAGGTAAGTAGAATAAGACGATCATAAGTATAGTATGATCATTATTTTACCCACCTAAAGATTGGAGAGTGATTTTAGGAAGTGGACTTGGCTCTAGAATAGACGCTCTTCTGTTGGACGGCAACACTCTCGACTTATGGTCGGTTATGATTTCATCATAATTTATCACTCCCAGTCGATCTCTGGCATTGTAAAATCCCGGTAATGTCTGGTCCTGTAACAACAGAAAATGTAGGCTTTTGTAGTTGCGCATATCTCACAAGATATTGGTTTTCACTGATCACCCCCTCCACACCCCATAAAAACCTTTATTTTTAATTTTCATTTCATTTCAACATAGATATAAAATTATTTCTGGGATATTTCATGCTTCATATTATAACACAGATTTTTTATTCATTTGTAACCACTTTTTACTTACTAGCCTCTTCTCCATTTCTATATTGTTTTTGAAAACTTCCTTGTCCCCTGTGCTATCCAAGCGTTTCTTCTTTTTGATACGGAAATCCCAGGTACCGAAAGTTTTGTTTGACCGTGGACTGTGTCGACCTTCATCTGAAATTCATATATATAATTAATCAAAATTGGTCCTCAATACCAAGTATTCCAAGTATTGAGCAATCACGCATTAATCATATAATTCAGTCGGGTTATTATGTTGATGACTGTATGACTGTGACTGTCAGGTAAAAAGAAAACCGCATTAGTACAATGTGTGCTCAGTTATAGCAGGAAGATAGTGTAGACCTATAACTTCCCTTACCATATTAAAACATTTTACTATGATTTAACATTATAATAACTTCATATATACCTTCGGAATCGCTGTCCGAGTCTCGTCTGGAAGTTCTCGGTTGAACTTCAACAAGTTTCTTTAAGACCGACAAACTACCCTGTAAATAATATTATTTGATAAACGTGTATTGTACTATTTCATATCAAATAGAGAGCATGCAATAACATACAATGAACTTAGAATTTAATTGAATTGCAAATATAAAGAAGAAAGTATAAATATATACAGTTTACTATAAACGACTAAACAAAAACATTACATATAGTCATAAATGAAGCTGTTATATCGTGAATTATGAAACATATTTTACACAATGTACGAGATAGATCATCGTATATTACAACAAGGTTCTACATATTACTCTAGTTACTCATTCTATATCACTGTTAATAGATAATTCTGAGAAATCTTACTGATTTGACTACATATATCCAGTCTGAATGGTTACTGTCCCTAACAAGAACTTGTCCTCGGCTGCAATATGATAAACATTATTATATAGAGGATATTTGTTTAGTTCAGTGTAAGATCGGAATATATTTCACCGAGTGAGCACCAAAAGGTATATTTCACGAGTGGCGCAGCCACGAGTGAAATATGAACTTTTGGTGTTCACAAGGTGAAATATATTTCAATCTTACACTAAACTAAACAAATTTTCTTTTTATTACATGCAAAGAAAAGTTTTAAAAAGACATTTAACCTAATACTGAATGAAAAGCGCGGCAAATAATAAAACAACGTGACGTCATTTACGACGTCACGTCATTAAGTTGGTACCCAGTACTGTGCACGCTGGTATTTCACTGAAACAACGTAAGGGGCTTAAATTCAAAACAGTGAAATTATCAAAGTGGTAATTTCACTGTTTCAAACAGTGAAATTACCAGTTTTATATCACTGATATATTTCTATAAACCACCGAAAAGCATGTAATAAAAATCATCATTGTTTATATGAATTACAGCATAAAAGGCCTCAGACATGTACAAAAAAGAAGAAAGGAAATAAACTAGTAAGTTACCCACAAAAAAATTAACAGATGAGACGAACAAAATAACAAACAATTTAGGGTTAGGGTAAAACCAACATAGTGCGTTTGCGACCAGCATGGATCCAGACCAGCGTGCGCATCCGCGCAGTCTGATCAGGATCCATGCTGGTCGCTTACCAACCCTTTTACACGTAGAGAAAATGATAGCGAACAGCATGGATCGTGATCAGACTGCGCAAATGCGCAGGCTGGTCTGGATCTATGCTGGTCGCAAACGCACTATGTTGGTTTTGTCGTGACGCGGCTTATATTATTTTAACTTACAATGACATTGTATTGTACTTTACACGAACATTTGATAATAATTAAGTAAAGAACGTTTGATAAACATGAAATTTAAAAAAAAAGGAATTTGATAAACAAGTAAATTAGACGAAAAGTTAATGAACAGGTACAATACTCTTACATCTATGAAACACATAATTTAGAAGAAGAAAACCGATAAGCAAGAAATTCTGTCGGACTTTTGATAAACAAGTAAATAGGACTTTAATTTGATAAATATGTAAATGACTCGACATTTTTTTAATAAAGTAAATTACACTGAAAATTGATAAACAAGCAAATTAATTAGACCAGCATTTGATTAACAAGTCATGTACATTAAAATTTTAACTCTCTGTTAAAGTTCAGTTTATATATAATCTTCTTTGGCAAGTAAGATAGAGTATTGTACACTAAAGTTGGAATATGATATAAATAATGGCAGTTCAGGTGTTTTATACTTTCCTAATCTTGACTTATATTGCACTGACAATTGTTAAAAGTCATATATATCTTCATTGTAAAAATATTTTGACAATTTAATAGCACGGAACTTAACGGAATGATCAGTTCGACTGTCATTACAGATAAGATTTAAGTGGATTTTGGCCAACACACGGCGATTATTGGGTTATTGAGATCCCCTCCAAGCCTATTTACAGACCGTTATTATAGCCTATATGTTACGATAATTTGTGAGATATTACATGTTTAAGTGAAAAAGTTAAATAGCCGTATTTCAGAACTTGTCACCAATTTGTGATAAGAAAAAACATAATTAGATATATTTGTTGGATTATTACATACTTTATAGTGTCATATTGCTCGATATTTTATAACACTACCAACATATCATAATTTAAGAAGTTTATTGTATATAATCCTTTTATGTCTTGTTTAAATATAAAAAACGAGAAAAAATGAATGATTTTTTATTAGTATATTTTTAAAAGTATTTTTTAATGAAAAATTAGACACTTATACTCACGGAAAGAAGTGGAACATACACGCCTGTGGATTCGTCGCAAGACATTCTATTGGCCAATGTTTTAAGAAGGGAATCGACCTGGAAAGAAGAAATTTTAATTGTTCCTCACTTATCCCGTTTGGCTGTGCCTCCTCCATTTCAATAAATGAAATATTATTGTTTGTTTTTTGTAACTAATTTTAACATATATTCCGAGCTAGAAAAATCTGAATACTTATATCATCATTGAAATATATATATATAACTTATATTAATTCGTCGACAATTTGTTAAAACTTGTAATGTTTTTAGCACATGTTATCTAAAACATGAATAAATCCTTCAATATATTCCTGTATAGATGTGGAATCATGTTACACTGTACGGAATGAGAAATCCCATGTAAATCAATTGCCTTTTAAATTGAAACAAATAACAAATTTGTCAGAGCTCATTTAAATTGATAAGGCCGATTAGGGCAATTCTTCTACTGTCAGTCAGCGATACACTTTATACACTAGACCCGGTGATCTTCTACAGTATTTAGTTTCTTAATTCCTTTGTTTGAATGGTATATCGCTTTGAATACAAGTGATAGACCGTAGTAGACAAAATGCTAGTACTATATATTCACGCTTATCACAGTTTAAATATAAATTTATTTAAGTAAAAAAGTCATTGATTTTACGTCGACACAGAAATATATGTCTTATTAAATGTTGAAGGCTGTCTGTAACTCAAGTAAACAGTTTTACCTTTAATCACACGAAGTCATCGATTTAAGGCAATTAAGTATAAAAGTCCTTCATTCCTTTAAATTAACTTACATTGCATTTTGCTCTCCAAACTTAATCGTTTAACTCTTGGGCATAAACAACAGTTATTGAATAAACAAAAGCTACATTTTTTTCTTAGTATGAAAACAAAATGCAGAGTAATTTAATGACGTATTACAAACATTTTTGCACGGATTTCACAAAATTAAATGACATATTTCCGTGTTTCAGAACGAAATGTACGCAAATATATAGCTAAATGTATTAAAATGGTTAACAGTCTTTTCCTGTCTCTAGTTACGATAAAGATATGAATTGCTTTAATATGTTTTTATCAATTCCTACCCGTTACAATCAATGTATCGTTGCTAAGTTATTGAATGTTTCCACTTCAAAATATATTTTATTGCATTTCTTTTAAATGAGTTAGGCAGTTGTTTCTTTCTCAAGATTGCCAGTTCATTGTTAGCTAGATCATTAAATACCTGACGTCTATCGTCCCACATATAATGAAACCAGTATTAATGTCTCTAAAATGACAATAAAATCCAAACATTTATTTCTGTATTAGTAGTTGAATGACAAATGAAAAACTGTTTAAATTGTATTTGCATGAGACTTCTTTACGTTCAAACGGTATAAATTAAGCTAGAAATCTAGTTCTTACATAGTAACATTTGTTAAAAATCTATAGTTTCACTCGGCCAATACTCCAACAACTGTACAACATAGTGCATACACAGGCACTGTGCAATAATGAACCAGGCGTACATACAGAAGAAATTTTAACCATATAGGACGAATGTGAAGAAAACAAACATACCGTATAAAAGAGTTGTTGTCAGAATCCGTGAGACTCTTAATTCCCCCAGACATGAATATCTCAATAAAATCCTGCAGACAAAAATGAGCCGTGTCACGACAAAACCAACATAATGGGTTTGCGACCAGCAGGGATCCAGACCAGCCTGCGCATCCGCGCAGTCTGATGAGGATCCATGCTGTTCGCTATCAGTTTCTTTACTTGCTATAGGGTCTGTAAGCGAACAGTATGGATCCTGATCAGACTGCGTGGATGCGCAGGTTTGTCTGGATCCATGCTGGTCGCAAACCCATTATGTAGGTTTTGTCATGGCGCGGCTCAAATGAAAACACAAACAGGTTGAAATCCAAAAGAAAATATTAGAAAGAACAAAATGTCATTTGTGAACGTCGTAAAAACCAACTTTAATTAGTCATTCACATGTGGAAAAAAGGTATTTAAACAAATTTCTAGTGTCCGTGTAACATAATAATTTAACACCATACGTTTTAATGTAACTTATACAATTTTTGATTTAACAAATCAAGTTTTATTTTCTTTGTAAAACCAAATGCGAAAATATTTGAAACCTTGATTATAAAATATAGACCAGATATCACCAAATTGTAACAAGTATCAGGGCATACAAAATATTCTTTAATAGTTTACAAATACCACTGTATTTTAACAAAGCTTCCACTTGCTTTATGTCCTATAAAAGATTTTTTCTATTCATAGGGCATTGATATAATAGACTTTCTCCAATGCCCATTACTCAATGATCTTTAATGATACTTGATTCAAAGATGTATTAGAAAGGATTATACATTTTAATATACAACATTTAAACGGATGAGTACATAATTAAGTATTAAGAAGGTGTATTTCTTATATGATAATACTCGATTCAAAAGGAGGGGTTCATTAAGTGCATTTTAATTTTGAAGAAGTATGTATAGTATATATTGTAAAAGAGACGATTATTTGTCAAATGTTGATTTAACCACCAGCAATACTGTCAATGATATGTTATAACTAAGCAATATAAACCCAATTTTCTTGTCGAAAAAACTCCCTGTTAGATATATATATACTCTTTATTTCCACATTTGAGTGATTTACATAATAATACAGTGTTATAAAGTGAAAGCTAACAATTAAACATATATACAATTTTGCATAACTATGAAACATTAGTGTTAGTAACATGCATAACATATTGGTTAAGTACAGATCAAATTTTATACTTAAACTAGAAATAATTATCAAATTGATATAGATTATAAGAGTACATAAGTATTTACATTTTCATTATACATATTTTTCTTGTGATATACTTAAGATGCTTATACAGCTATCACTGATGCCAGTATCGTATTTTCTTTCTAAAAAACATAATTATGACAACGCATATTTAACATGGTACTTTTAAAGCAAAATCATCGTCTCTGAATTTGAAGATTCTGTTCAACAAGAGATTACTGTCTTAGCATATTATATGTTATGTAACGAGATACAGTATTGCATTGGGTTTAACAACAACAACATTTTGGTCCTCTTCTTTAAACATAAAAATCATATTTTGCAAATTTTAGCAAAAAATATTTCTTTACCTTCCGAATCTTATATCAAAATATTTAAAAAAAATTTATTATTTTTTTTTTATTTTATCTATTCATTTTTAGGGGGGGAGTTGACCGATGTGAGGATGGGATAAAGAGAATACTTCCGGAAAATCAACAATTTCATTTATGTGCAAGGTTCATGAGGTTTAAAGCCCTGAACCGAAATGCTTGTTAGAAATTTTAGTTGGAGTAGCGGTGATCGAACTTGCGACCCCTGGATTTATGACTATACACAAATAGATATGTAAACATACGCTGGCGGATATACAAAGAAACTCTGTGGTGGTCGCAGTACTGACAGTTGCCTGGCGTCTACTCCGGTTGATAACAGCCAGCTCCTGTTATATAATGCAAATTATCGTAAATTATGCTGCGAATATAATGTATATACAAAACATAACATAAAATAATATATAATATACATGTATATCGATTGTGAGAGATTGTAACAAACAGTATACAGGTACTTTTTGCTACATCTTATCACTCATAGGGTTCCAATTTACTTCTTAGTACTTTAAGCAACAGTTCATAACTAGGATAGATATTTTAGATTTTAACCCTTTACCTCATATAGACGTGTTTTGACGGTTTCTTGCCCCCCCCCCCCTCTTTTTGAGTCCTCAAAACAGTGAAAAAATGTCCTTTTTAGACCCAAAACACTGTTTGAGAAATGTTGTTTAAAAAGTGATCACTTTTTCGCCCCCCCCCCCCAACCAATCAAAATGGTACATCAAGGGGTTGCCAGAAGGGGGATGTGCCCTCTGTTTGGGGTGGGGTTGAAGGGGGCGGCAGTCCCTCATCACCAAGAAAATTTTGGACATGTGACAGGCTAAAACAGCTTCAGGTCGATCTTAGGGTAACTAGCAACCAACGCTGAAAAGCCTTTTTGCTCTATCTCAATCCATTGAAAGTTGCAGCACTTTGAAATCGGTTTTGATGGGAAAATAAACAATGCAAAATAGTGATTTTTTTTACAATTTTGAGATGTTCCCCCGTTGCCATGGGGACAGGCAATTTACCATTGAATATGCTGTTATAGAGGCTATGGTTCAATTAACATTTGTGCCAAGTTTCATGAGTATTGTAACATTTTTCATAGTTTCAAGCAGTTTGAACTTGTAACAGGAGGCTTTTCAATGAAAAAGGTCATTTTTCACAATATGCTCATGAAGGAAAGGGTTAATAAACAGAATAGTCAGCTTATATAGCGACATGTTAAGAAAATCCTTTCAATAGCATAAACCTTACGTTTATATTTTATTGACTCATTGGAGGTATAATTGCGGATAATTAATTACACTTATGAAAACTACCGACTGTCTACTTACCCCGAATGACATTCCTCTATGGAGAGCCACAAGAAATGTTGTACCTCCTGATATACGATCGAATGATGTTACAACCACTAAAATAACGCACAAAATAATTGTCACAAAATATGAAAACAATAATCTAATTCCTCACTTCAGTTAAATTCCTCGTTATATTGGAATATAATACTTCTTTAGAATAACACTTATTTTATAAATACCGATGATATAGATCCCTCTATAATGTAGATTTGCTCTCCCACTGACACCCGTCTCTTCTTATGAACCGATATTTAAAGAAGTGTAAAAAAACTTGGTACATTTATTATTATTATATTTGAATATTTGATTGTACAAAAGGAGAGTAAATTTGTCAAAGGTAATCCATATTCTGCTATTGTATGGAATATTTACCTCATTAATACTCATCAATACCGATGAAAAGAAACTTTTTATTTTGTGGTATTTTATGAAAGCAGACAAGATAATATCTGGAAATATGACAGTAATCAATAAGGATTCCAGCGACCAAATACGACACGTCAAATAGCTTCATTGTGCGAGACAAATTTAGAGAGTCCAAACACTTAACACCGTTCTCACTATAATAAAATCAGTTCCGTTTCTATATGGGATATTATTGTCGTGTCGGACAAAAACTCACCATTTCGTATGAAATATAAAAAAGTTGGAATTGATTTGCAAATATCTTGTCGAAAACGGCTAATAATGTTAAATGTGAATTGTATATTTTGAGAAATATTTTACCACAAGGCACTAAAACACACAATACGTTTAAAAAATGTGTAGAGGTGCCTCGTTTGGTCGTGATATGGTTATCCATTCTGACAAGTAGCTGAAGTCTTATACAAACTAGATCTGTGTCCAAAGGACACGGATGCCCCCACTGACAACATATATATGGGACATAGTGAAAAAAATCAACAAAGGGTCATTATTCTATTAAATTTGGTCGCAGCAAAAATTCCTTCCTTTTCTTCCATCTACACATTAAGGTTGTTCATCCCTGGAAGTTTAAGCAAAATCTGCCATTCGGTTTAAGAGGAGTTGCGTTCACAAAATGTCTATATGGTATATAGTGAAAAAATCAACAAAGGGCCATAAGTCTGTTAAATTTGGTCGCAGCAAAAATTCCTTCCTTTACTTCCATCTACACATTAAGGTTGTTCATCCCTGGAAGTTTAAGCAAAATCTGCCATTCGGTTTAAGAGGAGTTGCGTTCACAAAATTTCTACATAGTATATAGTGACGGACAGCTATATGCTCCCCACTTTGAGGGGGCATAAAATATCAAGTATAACTAAAGTTACAATCTGCATCATATTCTTATCAACGTAAAACGGCTTCTTTCTGGCTAAAAAAATCTATATAGGTATGAAATTTCAGGACAATTTCTCAGCTGGTAACAGACGGTGTACAATTTTTTTCTCCATACATGCTGTATGGGCTTTAATAGACTAGATGTTAGCCTTATGTGTACAATGTCCATAGCATATCAGTTTAATAACACAATTATGTAGTAAAAGTTAAAATAAATAAATAATATTCTTACGTCAATCAATATGACGCAAATGCCTTTAACTAATTATATCATCAATTTAAGCAAGTCAAAGAATAACTGTCCGCGCAGATCTCAACTGAAACCAGACATAAGAAGCTTACCTGATCCCGACAGTATAAAGTAGAAGGCGTGAGGAGGTTGTCCTTGTCGCACTATCGCTCTGTTTGGATCATACCTACATATAATACACATATAAACATGTAATCTCAACTACCATTACATCAATAACTTTTGAAAATTTAAAAATTCACCGAAATGAAATAAAATATTAAAACAATTTAAACACTAATTGAAAGCTGTAAGTTATGATAATTACTAAATTAGAAATACATGATAAAACGAGATGTCAGCCAGATTTAAATACCAACATGGAAAATTAATCTTACCATTAGTTGGTAGCAAACTCGTAAAGATTAATTCCCTTGAACAAGAAGTTACTTACGCTTCATACCATCCAACTCGACACAATTGTTTCTGCATCGTGTTAGGGTACTCTGCAAATGCTTTTATAGATCGGAGCACCAGGTGAAGCTGTATTGAAATATTGTTAAATAAATGAATCCTGTCAGAACAAAAGTCATCTTAATAACGTAAGTCGAAGGTATCATCATCTCTTTAGTGAAATTATACCATTAATGGCATTAACGTTATTTAAAACAGGGATTCTTAGTGTATATTGGATTCAAACTTATTTGTCCATAAAGAACAATAAAAGCAATAGTTTACACTATTGTAATGTTGGAAAAAAAGAAAACAAAACAAAACTTACATAATCAATTTCCTTGTCTGTTCGTATTCTGAAATCTTTTTGTAATATTTTCCTGGCGTCTGCAGGCAACCTTTGCTGTATTGGTAAAACAAAGATATATGTGTCACGGTTTATAACTGATCACTATTTAGGGGAGTTGATGCGTAAGCGGCCCGGGTCCGAGTCCCGGTCAGGCTGCACATTTTTCTCATCCTATGGCATTTTGCGCCCAACGGAGAACCATGACTGAATACAGCCCAGAGTTTAATTCACATTACTCTGTAACTCTGTGAAATTCAAGGAGGAATTTCGTTATAGCAGAGGAGTATGTCACGGTTCAGAACTGATCACTATTTAGGGGAGATGATGTTTAAGCGGCCGGATAGCTCAGTCGGTAGAGCCGTGGTACGGTATTCCGACCATAGATTGAACAACATGCACAATGTTTCAACAAACACTTTTAACTTCAGACAAATGTCATTTATAAGTGTTTTGTTACAGTTACATCATTACCTCTTTATTAGCTCGGAATAATGTCGGGTCAAAGAATATTCCGTCGGGATCAGCTGTTGATGTCACATAATCCTCGGACACTTGAATTATAGATAGGTACTCATCCTTTGATGCCTCGACACTGTAAAATAGAAGTTAATACATATATATATATACTACAAATGTATATAGAAATGTCAATTGGATACGATACTATATAAAACCATAAAGTCTTATTACGTTAGAAACAGGATAAATCTCATTGTATCAAGTATAGTCTAAATATTTATTCATTTATTTATAACAAAAAACATTTTTCTTCAGTTTGATTTATTGAAAATTTGTTTTCTCATCTGAAGACATACAGATTTAATTTAAGGACTACTGCGAGCACTATGTTATCTTCATATCAGTATACATGTAGATCAAAGACAGATAAACTAATAAAACAGCTTGATTATTCTAAACTGTTAAAGTGACTATCACACACGACAGTTAACATATTTACATATATGAGCCGCGTCATGACAAAACCAACGTAATGCGTTTGCGACCAGCCTGCGCATCCGCACAGTCTAATCAGGACCCATGCTGTTCGCTTACAGACCCTACAACAAGTAATGAAACTGATAGCGAACAGCATGGATCCTGATCAGCCTGCGCGGACGCGCAGGCTGGTCTGGATCCATGCTGGTCGCAAACCCATTATGTTGGTTTTGTCGTGACGCGGCTCATATATGTACAAATAGCAGCTAACATCACTTATTCAAGTAATGGATTTGAAGTATGATATTTGAACAATACACTTTTACTCAAATAAATGAAGTTTGATCATTATATAACAAAATAGTGGAGAAAAGACTATCATGTCTTTACCATCAATAGGAATCTTGTATGTATAAACATCCGAAAAGAGATAGCGAAAATCTTAACACTGTTTTAAAAGAGAACGTATAAAAGTTTAATGTACGTACTGTCAAATAAGGTGTCATATTTAGTTTAACCAAACAAATACGGTTTATTTATACAGACAGTTCATTTCGCCTTTTTTTTAATTCTACACTTTACAATATCTTTAAAAAGAATTGAACGCCATTTCATGTAATAAGTGTCGTTTAAAGCACTGCACAAAACTTACTTTTCATGGCTATATTTACACAAACGCACACAAATTAATGCCAGTCTTACATAGCCTTTGAATCTTAGAAGTGGCGGCACCTTCGGCTGTTAAAATAAAACAGTCAAATATTGTCATATAAATGGAAATAGATAGATATAACAAAGAGATAGTAATCAGATTTCAGACGAAGCAGAAATGTTGTTTTTTTCAGTTTTCTTTCCGCGGCCTTTATTCAATAACACACATGTATATGTATATTACCTTCTTCTTATAAAATATAACCAATGCACTTTCAGTATCTGCACTTTGTAATGAATGAATAAATTTCTTCTTTAGACTTTACATTAACATATTTCATTACCATTGCTTACATTTATATGAGGAAAGAAAAACAGAACATTTGGAAATGAGGACTTCATTTTTAAATGGGGGTAAAATATAGATGTAAATATAAATGAATCATGGAGAAGTTATATTGTCGAGCGAATGTCAGTTGATGTGGATAAACCGGTACCTGAGATTCATTTTCATGATTTTTCAAGCGATTAACAAACAACTTATAAAAGTATTACCGAAATGCAATTTCCGCATATTAAAACCAATTAATTTCATATCATAAATCGATGATTTGTGAGGACATTCCGTATTGAAGGTTTTCTATTTATGAATATGTTTATAACGATATCAGAGACATCGTTCCTGTTCATATTTTGATTGAAAGTAGATTTTATCAATATCAGTGTCTGATAAATACGTTATCCCTCATTACCCTTAATCTTGATGTATCGAATAAAAACACGAAATGATTTACGATGTTGTACAACACCCCTTAAACTCTTCTGATTTTCATACTTTAAACACAGTTGTATCTTAAGAATGAAAATAAATCATGAGCATGGTCAATTTGCAAAATAAATGGGAATTACCCCGACATATAAAGATGAATTTAAATTCATTTACTAAGCTAAGCGAATTCTTAGTATTAGCTAATTTTATACAATGACAATATACATGTATAGTAATTAATTTCATGAGCTAAATTAATATTATTGAAATTAAACATTTCATGTCTATTCTGTTTGTTGTTAAGACTAATCTGACTGTATTGTATATATGTATTAAATTGAATATATTATCACGACAAATGATTTTTTTAACAATACTTTTCTGGGTGTTCTTGGTCTGGCACTACCATGCCTCGTCAGTACACCTATAAATGCAGCAGATGCATCTATTTCCGATTTAAGGCTAAAAACTCGTCGACGGACGCTTTCCATGTTTTCGAGAACACTTGATTTTCTCATAGCAGAGGGTTCTGTTGAACCGTTCTTTTTTCTTCCGACTGCGTCACCGATGTTGCGGTTAAAACCCTCTAAACTGTTTCTACCATTATTTTGCGCAAACATACTTTTTCTGCGACTGGTTGACAGGCCGTAGTCAATTTGATCTAAAGTATGCATGTCTTGTCCGTCTGGTGCACTTTTCCATGAATTTGACAAATAACTAGCCCTAACTTGGGCATTATTAAATCTTAACTTGTCAATCTCGGGCTGAACAACTTCCAGTGTATTTTGATAGCGTTCTTTCTGACTGCCCTCTTCGTCGCCAAGATTGTTAACTGTAATTCTTGGAATATTACTCATTATTATTGTAGAATGATGTTCACTTTATGTGTAAATCGTGAAAATACTGTAAAGCACATCCCAATCAAAATGGCAACGTATTATATCACATTTTCGCACTATTAGCATTAGATGCATCGAAAACATATTCCAACATATTAAAATGAACAACAGCTATTATACGTATTTCTGCTTAAAACTGTAGCAAATATTGCCCACCCCTGTGTCTATTGTATCTAAACATTCACAGTAAACTGTTATGTCCACAACTTAAAATCTCGCAGTTTTTCCCCGCTACCCATCTATATCTATCTCTCTATATGTATATCAGATTAAAAAATCGACCAGAAGAAAAACTTAACATATGTTTGATATACGAAGTACAAACACTTAGTCAATGAAGACTATTTATTCAGTATATGTTTCTGTAGACTTAATAAGACCATTTCATATTTAACTTCTTTCAATTAAAATGGAACTCGTGATTTCAAAATTAAAACCTTGCTATTCAAAAAGACGTGTTCTAATAATGTGAAATCGACCGAACTGTTAGAAATATTGTTAATTAGCATTCAACATTAATAGCGTTTTAAAAAGTCTGTCAATCAGGTTTCTCATTAAATTTCATATTTTGTAAAGAGAGGGAAATATTGTTACATTGTATGAGAGATTTGTTAGTTGATACCACCTGGTACTTAAGGTTTTATTTAAATTGGTGTAACATTTTAAAAACCATTGTGACCTTAATTAAAGTACGAATTGTTATAGACTTTCATAAAAGTACCGTCATTTATAATTTATACGGGAACGGTGTAATGTAAAAAATGTTATTTTAAATTAGAATGTATTTGCATTGATGCCATAAGTTTATTAAGTTGGGTCAGTATAACATTTTTCTTCGCTTAAAAGCAATGCGAGTTTTGTTAGATGGTAATTTACTCTTCGACAATTACGTTAGTTGGGAATATATATGATAACAAGAAAGTTTACAAGCTATAAAGATGATAATTGAGCCGCGTCACGACAAAGTCGACCAGCATGGCTCCAGACCAGCCTGTACATCAGCGCAGTCTGATCACGGCTAACAGTTTCTCTACTTGTAATAGGGTTTATAAGCGAACAGCATGGATCGTGATCAGACTGCGCGCATGCACAGGCTGGTCTGAATCCATGCTGGTCGCAAACGCACTATGTTGGTTTTTGTCGTGACGCGGCTCAATTATCAATAAACATTGAGATATTCACAAGATACATGGTCATACCCGATTGAATCCCTTGTTGTGAACTTTGGCCTTCCATTTAGATACGACCCCTACACCACTTCCACTGTTTCGCAGAATGTCGGAAAATCGACGGATCTGGAAAAAAGACAGTGATTTTTTTATGCTTGTCATTTTCATGCAGGCAGCAACATTTTCCCTTGGAACAGATAATATTTTTGAGATATACCTATGCATGAAATGTTGTAAATTTAATGAAAAGGGAAAG